TGGAGGCCCTTGTAAATCTGTGGCAGTTGGAGACATGGAATTAGAAAAAGCTCACAGGGAGAGTGCATGGGCAGAAATGGAAGAGGGCTGAGGGCAGAATGTCAGCGAGCACTGGACTGTGGCTAATAGCGAGCTGACAGTCTGAGAGAAACAGAAAGTGAAGGTGGAAAACAGAGAGGCCAGGGGAGGAGAGAGCAGCATAGGCTCTGCATTTGGGTCCATTGAGGTGAGCACTTTGCCCTGCATGCCTACAAGGGGCACTCAGTACACTGTGCTGATTTAGGCAGGCTGCAACAGACTAAATGTTTGTGTGTCCAAAATTCATGCATTGAAATCCTACCCTCAAAGTGATGTTATTAGTAGGTGAGGACTTTGGAGGTGATTAGGTCATGAGGGTGGAGCCCTCATGAATAGGATTAGTGCCCTCATAAAAGGGACTCTCAGGGAGCTCCTTGCTCCCTTCCCCTTTCTGTCATGTAAACACACAGTGAGAAGATAGTTGTCTATGATCAACCAAGAAGCAGGCTCTCAGCAGACATGGAATCTGCCGGCACCTTGATCTTGGACTTCCAAGCCATCAAATATCTGTTGTTGGTAAGCCACCTGGTCTGTGGTATTTTTATTATCATAGCTCAAACTAAGACACAGGTACATATAAATATATTACACGTTTTAGAAAGAATTATATCAAAACAGTTAACATAAAGAAGTTGAAGTAATTTACTTGAAAAATTTAGTCACAGACGACACTGCCTTCCTTGACAATACAGACAACATTGTGAGGCATGCGTGTCATCCAACAGGACTTTCTGCTGTGATGGAAGTGGTTTCCTATTTGTGCCATCTAACAGGGATTAGCCACATGTGGCTAGGGACTATCTTATTGGATAGATGATTCCTATGACTCACAGGTAAGTTTGGTTTCGAATAAAAGATATATAGCCTTTGGGGTCACATGGATCAGCCTTTAATCCTCTAAATACTAAGTCACTCACCTTCCCTGGGCCTGAGCTTCTTGTTCATAAAATGAGGGTCATAATATTTATGTTTAGGGTCATTGTGATGACTAAAAACTGGGCATATAAATTGCCTAACACAGACCAGAAAATGATAGCTACTACTTAAGATTATATGATGTAGGTCAGTATTCATGAACATAATTCAGTTGTTTTGATTCCTCTGATCATCACCATGAATATGTAATAAATTATGAAATATGCAATGAGAGATAACCCTTGGGGGGCTGTAGCCTCTGGGGCAGGAGCTTCTGGGTGGCTTCCCCTAGTAACTTACAATGTTTTTCTAGTTAGCGATTCTCTTATCTTGGCCTTGCTGTGAGCTGTCCTTTCTCGGTGTGATTGTTTCTGGCAAATCCTCCCCCGCCCCTAAGGAGCATTGCGAGCATTCCGCAATGCTTTTTCTATAACCTCGGAAGAAGAGAAGGCTGTTCAGAGAAATGACACACTGAACTTATTCAATCACTAACTTTAATTTCACATGCACTTCTAAGTCCAATGGAGTCTGTTCAGAGGGTTTCTCAAGCCTCTTTCTGTGGGATTAGAAGCACAAACTTTATTTACCTTAACCCTGGTTGATGATCACAATATCTGGGTGGACCTTTTAAAAACTACAAGTCTATCCCTTCTCCCCTCACCCTGGAGACCTGGCGTTAGGAGCACTGCAGGCAATTCCATTTCATGGCTTGAGAACCACTGGTGAATGCCATGTTCCCAGGGTGAGTTCCAGATAGGTGGAGTTGTCTGAGCCTGGGTCAACCGAAAGACTGCTGTACTACACTTGGGTAAGGCAGTGACACAGATAACACAGGGATCCAGCACATGGATGTTGGGGAACTCTGGATATCTGACCAGCATTTTCCCTGGGGGACCCTAGGCAGTCATTGGAACTAGTGGCACTCAGAGCTAGGCTTAGATTCCAGAAAGAAATTTTCTTTTCTTGTCCTCCTACGCTACCCTGTCATATTTCTGGAGATGGTTCACCTCCTTATTATCCTCTGTGAGGCTCAAAATTTTTATGATTTATTATTATTCAGCTCATGGTCTTTTAGAAAAAATCCTCACCGAAGAATATGTCTCTACCGATTTTCAGAGAGAGAGGAAGGGAGAGAGAGAGAAACATTGATATGAGAAACATCAGTCTGTTGCTTCCTATACACACCTGGAATGGGGATCAAACTTGCAATTTAGGCATGTGCCCTCACTGGGAATAGAATCCAAAAGCTTTTTGATCCTCCAACCAACTGAGCCTGACAGCCAGAGCTCATGGGCTTTTTTATACATGAAATTTCCCTAGTTTTGACACAACTAGGTATATATATATATATGTATATATCTAATGCAAAGTGCCCCCTTGGGAGTTCAACCAGGAGACCAGGGGTTTGATCTCTCGCTATGATGTGCGCTGACCACTGGGGGGTGACATGGAATGAAGGAAGGCCCCAGTTGGCAGCCGGAAGGCACCGATCGGCCCTGATCGCCAGCCAGGCCTAGGAACCCTACGTGTGCACAAATTTCGTGCACCAGGCCTCTAGCTTGAAATAAGACTAGTGAAAACTGAACTGGTATCCTACTTTCCCATAAGAAACCACACCTGCAATCCAAGGCTCAGAGCAATGCCTTCATGCCCATCTGTCAGGCCCACTCCTGTGACACCAACACTCCCACTGTTCACAGTGACCTGTGCGTGTGGTTAAGCAACATAGTGAGTAGTGTATGAATGCTTGTTAGGGAACTAGTCAAATATTGTTACATACCTTTAGAGACAAAAAATTTCTGTGAAACAAAAGAATTCCAAGCATAGGCCAATGGCCTATTTCTGAACAATACTCAACAAAATAAAATTCCATCGTAACAAACCAATTTCAACAATTCCCGTAAGTCTGGCCATACAATTTTCAGTCCAGAGAAGAGGCAATGTCCCATATCAGCAAATATTGGGGACTGGAGTAATTGATAAGATAAAAAAATTACTGGGATGTTCTGGTTTAGACATTTTGTTGTTCTTTCTCTGGTTCTCTAACCACATCTTTTATTAATTTGGGGTTTGGGCGAAGGCGTAATAGTAAAACTCTAAATGAGAACCGTACTCCTATTAAAACTTAGGGCTTTCTACTAAATGACCTCCTTTGCACATACTTTATCATGAAGAAGTAATTTAATGATAAAAAAGCTAGAAGTCATTTCTAATTTTCAGAGCCTGGCTCATATGGGAACCTTTTCTGGTTTTACAAGGGAGTATTTTGGAAAGAAACCTAACTCAAAATAGCATAAGCTAGAAAGACAATTTATTGGTGCATTTCCTCAGAAGTCCAAGAGTTTGGTTTCAGAGATGGCTGCCTGGAGGGGCTCATTCATGTCATCAGGGTTCTTTTGTCTCTATTGCTTAGTTGCCTTTCTTGTCTAGTAGGCTACCTGCAGCTGCTGCAGGCTGACATGGCATGGTCTCAGAAGCTGCCTTACCAGTTCAGAAAAGGCACATTTTCCCTGATTAGGTCAGGTCTCCCCTCACTCCCATTGTGCCCAGGACATGAGAGGCACTGTAGTTGGCAGGCCTGACTCACATGCCCCTGCAATGGCCTGGGAGGTTTATCCCACCCAATAGGAGGGAGCAGGTCCCAAAAGGAAGACACTGGGGCAAAGAATTTTCAAAATAAATAGCCTACTTTGGAGTAAGAGAAGGTGCTATAGGAGTAAGAAGCTATGGGAATGATAAAAAAAAAAAAAAAAAAACTTCATTCTACTGTTACAGGACTTTTGGAGTTAATGGGGACCACAGCATAATGTGTGATCACATGTAATGCATTAGTATGCCAGAGGAAAGTTCTGTTTAAAACCAGTATCTTATCACTTTCTTAAAATAATTATCTTGTAAGTGGCCAAAAATTTATTATATAAGGCTGATTTTATTTCTTTGATAATTTCTGAACCGGAATGAAACAACAGTCAGACAATTTGAATATAGATAAACTTGCTGAGAGAATGGGATGAATGCAATTGTATTTCAAATGTATTAAAGGTATAAAAAGAAATCTTGGCTAAATATTTTAGAGAATTATGTTGTGAGTTCCTCTCATTCAGTCATTCTATAAATATGGATTTCATCTTTTAGAGTTCCTCATAGCAAAAACTATACTAGAATGTGTTTAGTATTCCTAAAATAACTAAACCCTCTAAAAACCAACCACGTTAGTAAGCACATCTAAAGAAAAAGCATTTCCAAGCCTTACATTATGAGGTGAATAATGATGCACTCCAAACTTTAATTTTGAAACATTAGCTGGCCCATACTCTAGGGCAGTGGTTCTCAACCTTCCTAATGCCGCGACCCTATAATACAGTTCCTCACGTTGTGGTGACCCCCAACCATAAAATTATTTTCGTTGCTACTTCATAACTGTAATTTTGCTACTGTTATGAATCGTAATGTAAATATCTGATATGCAGGATGTATTTTCAGGGGCCGCGACCCACAGGTTGAGAACCACTGCTCTAGGGGCAGTACATCCATCGTGCTTGAGATTTGTTCCCATATTCTTTACTGGAGTGTTAAAAAATGCCTTCAGAAATTAAGTCTACAAATACTAAGATGGCCCATTTAAGTATATGAAAGTTAGTCAGCAGAAAACGTCCTCAGGCACCAAAGATCTGGATGGGTTATCACAGCCACACAACATGTTCTCAGTCTCAGGGCTACGTGGTTGGATCTGGGGCTTCCTGGCAGCTGAGATCCAGGGGATTCTTCAGACGGTGGGAGTGGGGCTGGGGGTACCAAAGGGCTTTGGAAGTGGGGCGGGGTGGGAGTCGGGGGAGGGGTTTGGCGGTGGAAGTGGAAGGGAGGGATTTGGGTATGGGAGTGAGGGGAGGGGATGGAGATGGGGAAGGCGCAGGGTCAGAAGCCAGGAGGCGTGGGGAGTGGGAAGTGGGAGGGGGTGGGGCGGGATGAAGTATGGGCGGGGCGCTCCAGGGGGGCGTGCACTCTGCACGGGGACACGCGCTTTGGGCCACAGCAACTCGTTTAAGTTCCCTCCCTCGCTCCCTGGCGAAGCCGGCCTGAGTCCTCCCACTCGGTGCAGACCGAACCATCGCGGCCGCCGCTAGCCGGGCGTCCTGGGCCCGCTCGGCCGGCCCGCTCCACTCTCTGCCCGTGGCCCCGCGGAGGCGGCTGCGAGGACTTGGCGGCCCCTGCAGCCCGCGATCGGCCCTCCAGAAGCGCCGGCGGCCCGGATCCCAGCCCTCGCGGGCCCCGACTCGCCCTCCCTGCCATCCCTGGGAACCTGGCTCCAGGCTCGGGCTGCACCGCCCGGGACCCGGGAGCGCGGCCGAGGTAAGGCTGGGCCGGCTGCCTGGTCGGGGGGCCGCGCCGCGCCCCGATTGCGGACAATGCCGAAGCCGCCAGCCGCTGGAGAGTAGCCGGGTCCGCCCCTGCAACCGACCCGCCCGCCTGGGTCTCGGTGCTAGCGGGCCCCGGGGCTGTGCTGGCCCGGCCGGCTTCCGGGGCCGAGGGAGGCGCGGGGCCGCTGCTCTCCCCGCGCGCTGCGCTGCGCGTCCCGGGCTCAGCGGGGAGGAGGCCGGGCAGGGGCCCCGGGAGCCGCGCCGGGACCAGCTGGCCGCGCGGAGGGTCGGGCCGGGCTGGCGGGGCGGAGTGGTGGGCTCCGAAGGCGCGCCCGCCGGTTGCTGCAGGAGGAGTGGGGTCGGCGAGGAATGGGTCTCTGCTCGGCCACGTCTGCTGGGAAGGTCTCTAACCTCGGGCGCCAAGTACTTTGGGGGTGTCAGTATCTCCTAATCGCCGGCTGGGAGTTCTTGCAAGAATGCAGACTCAGAGGCTCTGAAAGTTTGTGTTTGGTTACCCTCACCCTCTCCAGCCTTGGTGTCAGTGATCTCTGCTTTCTTTGAAAGCACACGGATTTGAAATAGGATTTAATTATTCTTGGCTCGCGCGTGCCCCCATCACCCGGCAGAGCTCATAACTTGGCAACCAAGCGCGCGCAGGCTGGGGGAAGCCCTGCTGCCTGCTGCCCAGCCTGGTGCCCTCGGCTTGTCATTAGAACAGGAGCTGCACAGTGCGACTGGCGTGACAGTTCTCCCTGGTGGGGAGCGGGAGGCGGAGAGAACTTAAATTACTCTGGATTCTGGAAAGTGGAAAGAAAACACCTGGTGCCCGACTCCTTAACCCTTTCACGTTGCTACTCGGGTTTGCAGACACCACAACAAGCAGGCTTTCTTTCCTGCCGAAGATAAGGCAAACTCCGGAGTTTTCCCTCCCAGCCGTGTCCTGTGCAAAATCTGGCACACATCTGTGACAACATTGCACGGCTGGCGTTGTAAGCACTACACGCTGATCTATTTTTGAGAAGGGGAATATGATAGTAGAATAAGCATTTTTGCAATATAAATAGTATGGCTTCCATTTTTATTTCCCCTCTTGGCTTTGAAGATAGTTAGTTAGCACGAGCCCCTCTCCCCCTCAAATTTATACTTGGAGTTATTCCATGGGAAATTCCTGCATTAACTTGTACTTATTTTGTGACCCCACAACCCCTGATCTTAAGCATATTTAACATAAGGGTTAGCTAATGGTAAGCCACAATTCCTTGTCGGTAGGAAACTTCCCATTGATCACCCCATGGTATTTAATCTACGGTGTTACTATATATCATACCTCAGTAAAGTCACAATTTGAACAAGGAAGTGGCCATGCTTTGTCAACCTGATCATCTGTAAAGGGCTTAGAACAGTCCCCAGAATACAGTGCTAGCTAGGTTAAGTGTCAGCTAATTTTATTTTACATTTTTATTATCAACCTATGGGTGTTTTTCTGTTTGGAAAATGGATATTTTGGTGTTTTTTTCTTCTTTTTCTTTCTTTCTTTCTTTTTTTTTTTAAATCCCAGATCTTTTAAGTCATAGGCTCTTTTAAGCTTGTGGTTTAATTTTAGACCAGAACTGAGGCTGGATTGTTTTTCTTAGGACTGACAAGCTGTTCTGTGTGTTCTTATGCATGGTAAGAGCTGGTTTAGTAAGTCTTCCCTAGGGATCTGTAAGGGCCAGAACACAGCCCTGAACCCAGCCTGCAGGCACATTTCAATATAAGGAGACCTGATTTTCCTTAGGAGCCTGATTGGCTAAGGAGAAGGCTAGACTTTAGGAACCAAACTCTCTGGTTCTCTGAGTTTTGAGTAATACTTGCAGCTCTCTTAGATGAAAGAACGGTGTTGGCACAGCAGTGAGGTAATTCCCACTGTGCTAAAATCATAAAGGATATATACATCAACCAGAGCATGTACTTCTTATTCATGCTCTAAAATCTTTGGAGCAGGATTGATAGCCTAACAAGCTAAGATAAGAAAAATTAGAACTACTCACTTGCCATGCGTTTGCTGCCTAGATATTTTAAAGGATGGTCAGGAGTGCACTTTCATTTAGAGACACTCCCCCCCCCCCCCCCATTTTACTGTGAAGTGAGATCCTTTTAGAGACACTCCCCCCCCCCCCCCCCCCCATTTTACTGTGAAGTGAGATCCTTTTTATCCCTAAACAGTTGAGTTAGTTAAGCAAAGGCATGGTGCAGACACAGTGCTGCTGTGGGCACCGTGTGGCAGTAGATGGTGCTGTGGATAACGCTGGAGGAGGCACATGGCTCCTGTGAGCTCAAGAATTGGAGGGATTCATTTAGCAACCCCATCACCTGCCCTCTTCCCAAACTGTATTCTCACCCAAAGACACCATCTAACAATCTTTTTAGGAATACACTTAAAAGTTTTTCCTTTGTGTTTTTCACTTTGTAAGGCTCAGCCAGATTTTTCTCCCTGAAACCGTAGTATTCTAGGTGTTCAGACAAACACTGCTTGTGAAAATATTATTTCGTCAACTGTACCCTTAGCCTTATTTTCCCGCAATAGAGTGAGAGTAACCATTCTGAGCCTAGGATTCCCAACTAATGTGGACCCCCCCCCCCAATAGTTTTAATGGGGAGAAACAAATGATAAAAAACCTACTTACATCATGACTGATTTAAAGAAAATAACTTTGTAGGGTGAATTCTCATTCATTCTGATTTATATCACTTTTCTCACTCCCAGTATGATGCAGTGAAGATAGATTTTCAGGATGAAGACTGAACCTCTACAAAGCTATGACTCATCCAAGAAAAGTATATTCCTTCTGTTTAGTATGGCATTGAGGGTAGAAAGTGCATATACTCAGAACGTGGGTTCTCTGGATTATAATCAGTTACCCATGGGGGCCAGCGCTGGGACCGACCTAGTCCTGGGCAGTTGACACAGCATTCTCATTCTCTTTACTCTAACACAGGATGGTTGGCTCTTATCTCCTTTCTGCAGGTGAGGTGAAGTGAAGCGGCTGAGTCATGTAGCTAATAAGTAGCAAAGCTGCCATTTTAACCCAGATGTGTGTGTTCCCCTGCAGCCCATGGATCTTTCCACCATGTCAGGAGGCATAACCTATGGTTTGTGCCTTCAGGAAGGTTTCCTGTGTTCTTTGGGGGTTTGATACCCACAGATCTCTTCTTCGTAACTCAGTGACAAGCTTTGAAATTCCTGAGTAGTATTTGGTCATTGACAAGTTCAAAACAGGCGAACTAGAGATGTTTTTTAGTTTTCAGAGGAAATCTAAGATTTCACAATACCATGTTAAAGATTGCTTGTTTTAGGAGGGTTGGGAAGGATCGCACGTTTAACTTCTTTGAACTATGTAAAGGCCAATATCGGTGGCTTAGAAGAAGATTATGAAGAAATCGTGTTGGGTCTGTTTTTGCCATGTAGCTCAGGTAATCTGGCGAGAGTTCTATGGCTCCTGTACCTCCATGAATTTCTTTCCCTTGGGTTAAAGGAGGGTTGTTCATTTTGATCACTTAAAGTATCAGAGGGGATTATGATGGTTAATGAAGCATTGGCTCAAATCCCCATTCTGTATATTTATTGTTGTTTTCAAACATTTTATACTTTAGGCAGAATCTGATTTTTTTATGGTGACTTTTTGGGTATTAAATGCATTATAGAAATAAAAAATATATATATTTTAGAATTGTTCAGGAGAGAACACAAATTATGCCCAAAATGTTTATCAAAGAAGCTAAAGGTAGCAGTGATTTGGAATTTTGACAGAAGTTACAGGATAATTTGCACAGGAGATTTTGAAGAGTAGTATTTAAAAATTTAGTTTTTTAATGTTCTTAGATGTCATCATCCAAACAATTAACAAAGATAATTAAGATATCAGGAAGGCTTCAACACTATTGCAGAATACATTTTCATCTGTTCTTGAACCTGGGTTTTGGGGGATTTTTTTTGGATGATCTTTTGTTATACAAAATTAATAAACTTAAATCATGCATATTCCTATTTTGACACCTTAGGTGTGTTTTTTTTTTCCCCTTGTGATAAGGGACTGTGTGATTATTATTTTTTTTAACATTTCTAACATTTTGCAATTTGAGTCTCATAAAGAGAATAACATAAGACACAGCATTCAAAGACATGAACCTTGTTTTTTTGTTTTGTTTTCAGGAAACTTGAGTAGATGCAGCAAATTACTTTTCTTCTTTCAGCATATTTGGTGATAAAAATAGTGAACATGTGGATGATTAAACAATTTTAAACTGGCATTAAAGCTGGGATTTTAAGATGGTAAAAATTTAGAGAGAAGTTCAAAAGTGAATCCTAAGCAAAAGGAAGCAATATGTCATTTGGCAGACAGGTTTCTAGCAGAATTATAAGAATTCTGTGGTGTGTTTTGTTTGTCAGAGTGAGATCAATGGGTTTTGAGATTGTCCAGTTCCAGATAGAGCTTTTAAAAATGTAACTCAGAAGCATATGGGAAGTTTTTGAGTGGTTATGTTGTAATGCAAAGCGTTTTTTCCTCAGAGCCCCATTAGAGGTTTGCTTTACCTCTTTGTCTTTTGTAGGAGGAATCACAGCTAGACTTCGGAATGATCATTCTTGCCAACAATTTTTTTTTTTTTTGGTCCCATTGACTGGAACTTAATGAAAAGAAAGAAATTATGTGTAAGACCCTTGTTTAGTAACTTCTATTATGATTATATTAAACAAATATTTATAGAGGATTCATTGTGTGCCAGGTAAGGATACACAGTGGCCAGGAAAGACAAGGTCCTTGCCTCCTTGAGGATTTATTTGCTGTGTAAAGTGGGGGTGTGATAATAAAATAAATAAATAGATTACAAGCTAATTTTTTAAAAATATGTTTTTATTGATTTCAGAGAGAAAGGGAGAGAGAGAGAGATAGAAACATCAATGATGAGAGAGAATCATTGATTGGCTGCCCCCTGCACGCCGGTACTGGGGAT